TCTCCTCAGGGAGCTCACTGAGCCTTTTCCACACTTCCTCTTTCAGGGCTGTTGTATTCATTCCGCTGTGGATTTTGCCTTTTGCTTTCCTGAGCTAGTCAGCTCTGGGTTGGGTTCCATTATTTGCTCTCTTCTGTTTATGTGACTATCTCAGAATTTTTTGAGCCGCTGTCTCCTTATTCATTTGTCATTTTCTCAGACACTGCACTTTCTGGTTTCTAAAGCTGACCCTTCCCCATGCTCGCACCTTCCCCCTTCCCCTTCTGACTGCTTCACTTTCCCTTCCCCCACTGCTCAGCTTCTTTTTATTAGAAACAAAACTATGAGCCTTAAAAGAACACTCCAGTATGGATAAAATCCTTCAAACCTGTGCTGCTCTTTGGCCCCTCAGAATCTTGAGAGAGCCCATGTACAATAAGTTTTCTAAGGAGGTAAGGGAGGTCTGGAGAGCACCCCAGTTTTGGGGTCACCTTTCTTCCTGCCTGTGTTTGCTCACCTTGCAGGGTGACTGCCTTGCCCACTGCCTGTAAACTGTAATCTGAAGACCCTGAGGGGACGTTTAGTGACCAACACAATTCAGGAGTGTTCTCATCCTAAACTTTGCATAGGCCTTCCTTCCTAAAACTGACCCTTTCACTTTAGAACACGGAATTTCTGACTCTCACTTTCTTTTATTGTTACCTGGGGTTCCTTTGATCATTTTCTGTTTTTTGGTGTTGTGATATCTTCTTGTCTATGCACTTTCTGTCACTTCCCGACTGAATATGACGATTGGTCAAATGTTTACCTTAGTCTTTAAGATGTCAAAGAAACTGAAAAATTATTGATTTTATATATTTTAAGTTCAGAAGAGATAGCAGAAGATGATATTTTGGAATTTTATGTGGTGTGTTAATTTGTACCACAGTAAGGATTTATACCCAAATCAGAAACATTTGAAATATACTTGGGCAGTAACTGTTGTTCAATGAGTAGTGCTCCAGCCTCATATTCCAAGGGTGGTGGGTTCAAACCCGTCCCTAGCTGAACTGCAACAAAAAATAGCGGGCGTTGTGGGCACCTGTAGTTCTAGCTACTCGGGAGGCTGGGGCAAGAGAATGGCCTAAGCCCAAGAGCTGGAGGTTGCTGTGAGCTGTGATGAGCTTTTTCTGGGAGAAAAAAAGAAGAAGAAAGAAACATACTACTTATTGCTTTTTAAAAATGCTTCAGAACTAATATGATATGTAATATGTTGGCTGGTTCATGAGGAAAGTAACTCTAGCCTTTTTACTGGAGCAGTGGGGGTGGGGAGCAGGCAGTGGGGTCTTCATCACTCTTTTTATTGTGGTGGAACATTCAGGAGTCAAAAGGGGGATTTTAGCAGTCTTAAATGGGCTTTATTGCTTTATTCTAATTTCTTTTACACATTGAATAATACTTATGTATTTAAAAGTTGGCATTATACAAATACATTTGATTGATTTGATTTGATAGAATGATTCTATTCAGAAATAAACTTTAGTGGAGAGTGATCCAAAATACCATTCAGTATCATAAGATAGTAGGTGCTATTTTCAGCAGAGTTTAGGAAAGAATCAAATATTGTCTGGAAGAGAATTGTTATACACATACCTCCTGGCATGGTGATCTACATATTTCAATTAGTTGTTCAGGTACAACCACATGGAACAGTTACCACATTCCTTTTTTTAATGTAGTTAATGGTAAGATGTGCTAGTACTTTTTTCAGGAGTGTTGATGCTAGGGTATTTCGACCAAAATAAATCACCATTCTCAAATGTATTACCTCATGTGATGGAGACAAATGAATAGAGAGAAAGGGGAGGGAATTTGGGAACAGAGGAGGATTTGGACAATAAAATAGGAGCACAAACATACTGAAAGTGGGAGCATGACTGTGGTTTTGAGAAACATACGGAGTGGGGTCTGCAGTTTACAGCAGGAGTAAATGTCAAGTGTGTTGGAGGGGTTTCTAACTCGAGACCTTAGTTCTTGAGTGGCAAGTTGTGTGTGGTCCTGCCCACCTTACCTGGGAGGTGCATGCTGAGCACCGCACTTCCTGCCCTGCTATGCCTAGAAAATAGATTGGCAACTTGGAGTGCCACTTTAGAAAATTTGCTAATATATGAATATAAAATAGCACTTATATGACCAGGAGATAGAATTGG